TTAGTTCGATCTTTAAAGAAAAATAGAAAAATAAATAAATAAAATAGGAATTATAAAAATTAAGCACGTACGAGGACTTTTTGCCTTTTGTTGCTTAATAGCCAATTGTTTTCCAAAGCTTCCCCGCATATCATCATAATCATCGACTTGATTGCAAATCTTTGTTTGCAATTCATCATCAGTGACCATTTTTTTAAGAACATCATTAAACATAGCTCGTGTCTTACGAGCATATGCATTATCACTCACCTTGAGATCAAAGCACTTGGAAGGATTAAGAAATAATGCAGCTCCATACAACTCCACTTCCATTTGATCCTCCCACCGATAATCAATAATATGCATAACTTCTTTCAACAAATTTGGCTTTTTCTCAAAATCTTCTTTGATTTTCCTTTTAGCTTCATTCATCGCTACTGCAAGCTCCGACATCGCTGGCTTCTCATCCCCGTCAACAATCCTCAAAACAATTGAAGTGGATGCGATGCTTTTATACAATACTCCACACCAATCTAAAAAGGAGAGGACAATACTGTGTTTGCTACTAATCTCCCGGCATTTGTATTAGCCAATTTCGATGCAGTCCAATTTTCGCTAAAAAATAAGCTCCTCAAAGCATCCCTATGCTTATATAAACTCTGCAAAGTCAAAAATGAAGTAGCAAATTGGGTAGGCCCAGGTCTCACAAGATCACTGCCGTCCGTCTTCTCCCGCATCGCATTAAGGAGCCTTACGTGCTTATAAATATAGGTAGTAACTCTTCTTGCATTGTCAATCTTTGCACGGAAAACAAACAATTTCCCGATATCTTCTAACATAAGATCAAGGCAATGAGCTGCACAAGGAGTCCAGTATAAAGTGGGTATGCGCTGCTCCAATATTTTACCCGTTGCCTTGAAATTAGCATCATTGTCTGTTACTACCTGAACCACGAATTCCTTTCCAATTTCTTCAATTTTCGCCTGAAGTAAATCCACCAATAGTGATGCAACTTGCGTTTGACTTAATGCATCAATCGACTAAAAAAAAATGTACCTTCTGGACTATTGACGAGGAAATTAATCAAATGCCGCCCTCTTTTATCCGTCCACCCGTCAGCCATAAGTGAACATTCGTATTGCTTCCAAGCAATAACATGTTTTTCCTTCAATGTTTACGTCTTTTTTACCGCCTTCTCTAAAAGAGGAACTCGTAATTCATGATAACTTGGACCTTTTACACCCGGTCCCATCTGCTCCACTGACTCAATCATTATCTCAAAACTTCGAGACTTTGCCACATTGAATGGTATGCCATTTTTGTAAAAAAAAATCGGCAATATGTCCATGAAATCTTTCAATCTCCTCATTGCTCCTTGTACACGCTTTCAATGTTCTTTGACTTCCACTACTCGTTTTGCTATGTCTTTCCTCAATGACTTCCTCCGGGGTTTTTCTAAACATTGAAGCAACCGACTTGCTTTCTTTTCCACCTTGTGACGACATCGATGGAAAATTTAGAACAGATTGTGAACGCTTCCTCTTGCTCAAAGTACCCGAGCTAGGATAAGAAACTGAGTCGTGCGATACCCTTTGCCTTGCTCCTTGAACATTCACATCAACATCGTCGTCAATGTCGTCGTCGTCATCTAATTCAACACGACTACGACTAGGCTATTTTCCTACTGTCTTTTTCTTTAGGAACTCCCGCATCTCATTCCGGATTTCTTCGGTAGTTTTTGAACACTTCTCTACATCTCCAGAATTTCCAAGCAAGTGTTGTTTCAATCGCTTTATTCCCGATCGTAATTGCTTATGGCAAATGGAACATTCTACCAAATCTCTATTTCCCAAGTCCGACCAAAAGTCATATTTCCAACCCGGATCATTTGACATAGCTTTTCTTTTGGGATTTTTGGATGGATCTATCGTTGACGCTTCACTTTCGGCCATAGCAAATTTAATCCTATAAATATTCATATATCAATATGTCAAAATAATACAAAATAAATAAAAAATTTGTTTTATAAAATGAAAAATTATAAAAAAAATATGTTGCAAAATAAAAATAAATAATATTGTTATATCAACAAACAAAAAATATAAATAATTAACTAAATATTATTAAAACAATAGCTAGTAATAGTAATATAATATATATATAAAAAACTAATAATAGAATAATAATATAAAAATAAATAAAAAATAAAGCATATCCACTGAGAAATTGGATTAAGATTCCACTCACCCAGGAGCACGGCTTCAGTTCGGCGACTGGTGCGACGTCGGTGGACTGGAGCGGCTTCGGTTCGGCGGACTGGAGCGGAGGCAGAGGGGAAGATTCCAGAAACGGCGCAACAAATCAGACAATTTTTGAGAAGATACTTATATTCAGACCGTCCGGTTCATGTAGGGCTTGATTTCGGGTAGATCTCGGTTAAGGGTAGGATCAGGTTAGGGCTTGATTTCGGGTTTAGGGCCACTCGCTGTGACGTTGCCGCAGCGTTGCCAGACCGCCTTACGTCACAAGGCGGAGCGGTGACGCCTGGCGCTCTCCGCCAGAACGCCGTGGCGTCGCAATGGTGCCCATACCTGATTTTCTGTCATTTTGCATGCTTTTGAGATTTGTCTGAAGTGAGTTAAGGTGATTTGTGTGATAGGTTAGTTTGGCATGACTAATGACATTTGATTGGTGATATGTTGAGTCAAGTCGACGTTTAAACCCTGAGAGAATTTGAGCCTATATTCCAAATATTACATTAGAAAATAAATTGCATATATTCAAGCTTTTGGAAATTTCTTTCATATGTGATTTGTAGTGCTCAATTAGATAACCTAGAACTTGAGTGATTATACATGTTGAACTTGCAACTATTGAGTCTTGCGTTTTGAAAATGATAAGAGCATTAGTAACCCCATTAAGCCTTTCTTCATTACCCAACACAATATATTCCCCTAGTTAGTCCATTTGAGTCTTTTTAGCCTCTTTTTTCTTTAATAATAACCTATCTTAGCCTCATACCCTTCTTTTATATGACTTACCACCTCTTGAAATATTAAACTAATGGATAAACTATTTTTATAGATGTGGCAATATTGGGTTGGCCGAGTCTTTTCATGCCAAAGTGGCCCGATCTGTTTTTCATTATGTGTTGATGCAGGCTTCATTTGGTTTCAAATTGGGCATAAGCTTAAGCCCGAATACAGCTGGTTGAAACTATGTTGGTTGGGTCAACTCGATTTTTATTTAAATTTATTTTGCATATTTTTTTATATATTAATTTTAAAATAATATTTTTGTTGATAATTAAAATTTTAATGCTTTTTTCGTCCGAGAGTAAACTTCTCATTTTATTATTTTAGTATGTCCAAATCAAAACTTCTTTTTTTTTTTTAGAAAGTAACTCTCGTATCAATACTAAAATACTCTTACTTTTTAATTTTTCATATTACTTTTACTTTAATGTCAATGGTAAAATGGATATTATACTACTGTTTTACACTGCCATCTTTTTCCTCTTTTGTCCGTTTCACAAAAGATGACCGCTTTTTATTTTTGATAAATTTATCAATTTAAAACACATTTAACAAATATAAATTAGTTAAATAAAATTTCTAACTTCTTACTCGTAGAATTTACTTAAAACCTCTTTATTATCTCTCTCATCAATTAACAAATATTTTTATCTGCCTTTAATTTTTTTATAAGACTAATTTATTGTAATGATAAATAAATAAATATATTTTTTTTATTTATTTGTATTATATAAAATTTTATTATTTGCAAAATGCTATTAATGTTTTATATATATTTTATTGAGATATAATGTTTAAAATATTTAAACACATATTTTAAATTTATCTTAATCATATAGTATAATATAATTCTATTACATGCAATCATTAAATAATCAATCTCCATCATATAAATAAATAATCTATACTATCTAAATTCTCGTGCTCAAATAAAATGTATCATTTTAATTAGAATGGAGGGAGTACCAATTTATCTTAATTTAAGTCAAATGAAAAACTTATTTTTGAATGGAGGGGTATTAAATATATAATTTTTTTTATTTTATTATATATTTATCATATATTTTAAAAAATATATTTGAAATTAAAATTTTATTTGATAAATGATGTCCGGTCAACTATAAGACAAATTTTCAACCGGATTTTCATGTTGCATTTATTTTTGTCGACTATAGATTCTCTTGTTTCTTTTTTTAAAAAAGTCTATTGCTATGCAACTAATAATTGGGATTAGTTGTACTTTATTTTATCTTTTGAAAAGTTAGTTCGTTTAAATAGGTATTTTTTTTTTTTTTGGAGGTTTTTGAAAATTTATAAATTTAGAAAAGTAAAAAGTTAATGGCTACATTTACTTGTAAGATTTTATTCATGATTTTACAATTTCAATTTTAGTTTTTTTTTTTTCTAAAAACCTCAAATCAAATACTTAATTTTTATTTATTTTATTACACTAAAATTTAATTTTACATTTAAAACATCACATCAATACATATTTGTATCGCATCAAATAACTATTTCAATTTAAAATTTTATTATTTGAAATCAAAACTCAAAATCAAAACCTCTCAAGTAAACATTCAATATTTGATTTGATATTTTGTGAGAGAAAAAATGTATTTGATGTAATATTTTTTTTTTTTTTTAAAAAAATAATGTCAAATTAGTGAAAGTGAGTTGTGTAAACACATAAATCTATATCAATTAATGTTGGATGCAATATTTTTAATAAAAAGGTAACGTTTTTGATTAATTTTGTAAAAAAAAATGATCCATTAAACAAATAAATGTGATAGAAATGATAAGGAAACGCTACACAACAACAAAATTTAATACAATAGATTTAACCATAAGCAAAACGGACAAGAAATCAAGATAGTTTCACTTGATTTTTTTTTCTTTTGTATAATGAGTGATGAATGTCCACATAAAGTATTTTTTCGAAAATTAATATATATATATATATATATATATATAATCAATGTTGGATTACAGATACTGAATCTTTAGAGGTAATTTTTGCATCCATCCATCGGAATCAACGAAAGTAATACTTGTTAATGAACGCAGTTGGTCTCTGCTTAGGGTTTTCTCCCACCTGACTCGATTCCTCTTATTCGACCCTAAACCGTAGCATTCTTCCTCCGCAAAGGTTAACTGAGACCTGTCACAGTATTGACATATATATTACTGTATACTCTCTCCGTCCCAAAACTATAGTCTTATTTGGATTGAGCCCGAGATTTAAGAAATATTGATAGGTAGTAAAAAGTGTGAGTAAAAGACTTTTTGCTTTGTGTAATAATAATGAAAAAGTAGAGATAATTTTACGGTGAGATAAGTATTTATGGAAATGAGACTATCGTTTTGGGACGGAGGGGAGTATTATGTATTATATTGAAGAAAAGTTGGAGAGAAAAGTAAAGTAAAGATGCTCTTACTCGTGGCCAGCAGAAGACCATGCATCCCATCCCGGAGGCACGACGATGTCGGAAAGATAGGATCGGTAATAAAGAGCTCTGGAATATGATTTCCAGGCCCTGCCCAAGAATGCCTTACAATTACCGGTTACGTTGCATTGCTTGAACACGAATCCGCCGCCGTTGTAGGCCTCGTTCCTTGCCTGTGCCGTTATGTATCCCACTGGAGCTGGCTTTATTGTTCCACCATTTACCCATATTCTGCATCTCTGCATACAATTACGATTACAATTACTTCACTTTTACCTATACTAAAATATGTATAAATTTGATGTAATATACAGTTAATGATATCTTGATTTATTTGAAATCTCGGAATTTATCGAATGCATTAGAATTAATCAGAGCCATATTTATTTTATATACTTTAATAGTGTTAATCAACATTTCATATTATCTTATGTTATCTACCAAAATTGAAACGAAAGTCCGAAAACATTCAATAGTCAACATAGTAGCGGAGACATGAAAATCTAAGTGAATTGTGGGCAGGGATAGAACTACGCTAGGACTTGGGGGTCAATTGATCCCCAAACCAATTTTATAATAATTTTTTTAGTATTAAAAATATTAATTTTTATGTATTTATATACAATTTGCTCTCCTAAAAATTATCTAAATTTATATATAATTCTGTCATTATTATTTGTTTAAATTTATTAACTAAATATTAAATAAATTATAACTTTTTGCCTAATCGGAATTTAGATGCTAATTTCGTCCCTGATTGTGGGCACATAGAATGAGAAGTAAAGAAAATAATGAAAAAAGGAAATAAAAAGTTGAAGTAGCAACAAACCATAAAGAAGGGAACGTCCACTAAAAAAAATATCAATTTTGTAACAAGATTTTTTCGTTGTTAAATCTACTTTTTCCGTTACTAATGATATTAGAGACGGAATTTGAGATAAATCTACTTTTTCCGTTACAAATATATATATATATTTTTTTTTTTTTTTTTAGTGGTCAAGCTCCAACTTCAATCAAACTCCTTTCATTTTTTTCCATTGCATTTTTTTTTCTTGCATTAATTTCTTTTAATTTTATTTATTTTTAATTCCAAATTTCGTTGCTTTCTTATTTTGTTGTTCTAATTACACGTTCAGCATCATTTGAATTATAGTGCATTAATTTTTAATTAATTTGGTCCAACTTTGTTTATTTAAAATTCAATTTCAAGTCCGAACCATTTTTCTATCTGATCATATTTACTTCCATATGTTTATGTAATGTTTTATTCGAATTTGAATCGAATAATTGCAATACTGTTAGCTATGAATTTATTGTGTTTTATTATTAATTGTGAAATTAGTTTGAATATTTTTTTAAGTAGGCCGAAAAACTCAATTTACGTCGATACTGACAGGCCCAAATCTAGTAGGCCACCATCGACAAATTTCAATGATAATATCAAAATTAAAATTTTCATATAATTTTTTAATTAAATTGCAAATTCATCATGGATATACCAGGGTAATTAAATACCTTTTAAAAATATTGAATAAAAATAAAAGAATTATTGCATAAGAACCTCTATATCGATAGATTTGACAGATATGAATATGTCAAGAAGCAATTACGAAAGATAAAAAATAAAAAAAAAACATCTGACCCTGTTACATGTTATAACATCATAAACAATTATATATAAAATTCAATCTAGAGCCGTCAAAATGGGTTGAGTCCATCGGGTTGACCCGTCCGCCTTAGTTTTAAGGAGAGTTGAGTTGTGATTTTTTAAGCCCGTTAAAATACAAGTCTAAATGGGCCAACCCGCATGGACCACGGGTTGAGGGTGAGTTAGTCCTCACTCATCTAACTAAATATATTTTTTACCATTTTTTATTGTCATATTAAAAATTATAATAAAACTAATCAAATATTAATATAAGAATATATTTTAATTTTTTTTAAATTACAAATATACTATTATAAATAAGTTAAGACAAATAAATAAAATTTATATTATCATTACCTTAAATATATTATCAATATTATCTACATGTTTTTTTCTCTAACTATATTATTCATGACATTGTTATTTGTTTCGATTTTTCATCATTTGTTTTGTTCGTCATTTATTTTTAAAATAAAGTATTTCTTATTATTAATTTTTTTAAATACACCAATTAATAATATTTAGAATTGAGAATTTTTATATTTGTTATTTATTTTAAAATATTTATTATTTAAATTCTTAAAAAAAACTATTTTTAGCTATTTTTAAATATTAATTACGAAAATATTTATAATATTAATATTCTTTTAATATTTTTAAAAAACTCGTGGGCTAGCCCGCTTAGCTCGTTACCCGCCGATAAATTGGGTTGGGTTGATGAAATTTTGATCCGCCCTGCTGCGAGTTGGCCCGCAAACAACCCGCTTATTTGCAAGTTAGGGTAGATTGTGAGCCAATCCGCCCCACTAACCTGTTTTGACGGATCTAATTCAATCATAATACTACTCTTATATCAAAAGGAATATATATTTATATATGGTGGTAATTTAACTATTCCTATTAGATATGAAATTAAATGCTTTTTTAAAGTAATGAAATAAACACAAGAAATATTATGTAACAATCTCTATCTCTATAGACCTAAAATATATAAATATGTCAAAAAAAAAAAAAAAAAAAAACAACAACTACAAAATATAAATATTAATATCACATTAAATACTATTATAACAAAAGCATTCGTATATGCAACACAGTTTTACTCATTTAACACTATTATTTTTTAAAAGACATCATTCAAATATATTTTTTCTCTCACAAAACACCAAATTAAATACTGATTTTTTACTTTTTCTAAAACTTCCAAAATTCTAAAAAAGTTCCTATCTAAAGAAAGTCATGACTCTTGCTTGTGGAGTTTGAATTTGTATAATTAATAATATAATTGTGAATGAGAATATATATTTGATTTTATATTGTGAATGTAAATTAAATTTTAGCTTAATATAAAAAAAAAAATTTAAAAATATATATTTTTTCATATATAAATAGTAAAAATAAAGTACAAATTCTAAAAAAAGGCAAACAATTTATACTTCACAAATATTAATATATTCATAAATATACAAACAACAAATAAATAATCAGTAAAAAGGGGTAAAGAAAAACCGTCGACTTTAATTTTAAAAATTTTAGAGAGACTTTTCAATTTTGAAAAAAAGCGAGTAGTCAGACGTAATATTAATTAAGTAATTATGAATTCAAAGGAGTGAGTAAATAAAATCATAACGAATTATATAAAACGTCTCTCTATTAATAAATATAAATAAATAAATAAAAAAAACAATAATTAATTTAATGTTTTACCTCATAGATAGATTGACCACCTCCGAAAATGAAGTCAATGGCTCCTTCAACAGTACACTCCTTGAAATAATGTCTGCCCGCGTCATCCAAGAGCGTGTCCTGATACCCCGAGAAGCTGCACTCAAAGAACGCCGCCTTGTCGCCGGAGATCTTCGCCGCCACCGCCGCCTTCACCGGAACACCCCCCGCCGCCGGGTAGTTGTAAGAATTCTAAAAATAAACAAAATTAAATCACAAATTGATGAAAACCAGCCAATATAAATATCAATTTATACCACGAAGGAAATCCCAGAAACCAAAATATTGTCCGCCAAAGACTCGAAAGTGGCAGAAGACAACATGGAATCATGGTCTCCCCACGTCACCACTGTTCTTCCCATCCCTTCCCCCTTCAAATATATGAACTCTTTCCCCGCCGGAATCTTCACTTTTTCCCTTTATAAATCAATCAATCAATCAATAAAAAAATAAAAAATTAATTTATAATATATGGATGGATACGTACCTGTAAACCCCAGCTTTGACGACAATCGTAACCCATTTCTTGTTCCCCATCGGGACGGCATCAATGGCGGCCTGAATGGTGGCGCCGCCGCCGATCATATTGTGGCGGGTGGCGGCGGCGTTGGGGAATAAGAGGAAGAAAGCAAAAGTGAGAATGCAGCAGCAGTGGGGCAGAAATCTGGCCATTGGTTTTTTTGTTTCATACTGGACAAGAAATGGGAACTAATATTTATTAATATTGTAATTATTATAACATGGGAAGAATAAATTTAATTCAATTGCTCAAAGTCTCAAACTAGTTCGGAAAATGCTTGCTTCAATCAACCTCAATTTCAAAAGTTTCTTTTTTTTTTTTTTTATTATTATTGAGGAATTCATTTAAATCTTTTGCATTTTCCATTTTCTCTTTGTTAGAATTTACAATAATAAAAATAATAACAACCTCGATTTCTTGCTGGCATGGATTTTCTTCTACTTTTCTTTTTTTAATCTGCAATAGATTTTGTGGGACTATTTGGGATAAGTGTATATCGTGGTGTGTTACGTTTGTCTATTTGTAGATTTTTATATTTGATATATATATATATATATATATATTTACCAAAAAAATAAGGGTGTGTTTGTTTTGTGTTTTAGTTCGAAAGAAAAGAAATTTATGTAAATTTTAGAAAATTGTGTAAGTAGTATAAAAAATAATAAATATGTGTATAATATTAATTTTTTTAGAAATTGGGTTTAAATTTTTTTATAAAAGAAACTAACTCTAATAGTTTGACGTATTGTAAGAAAAAATAATACTATTTTCCTTCTAATTAATATTTTATTATATGTTTTATTATTCATTTAGCTTATGTATAATCATATATTAGGAAATAATTTTATTTACTCATAATTTAATAATTTATACTTTAACAAATAATAATCAAATTATCACTATTTTTTTACTCATCTCATTAATTTTTAATCATGTACTTGTTATCAATAAAAATATATTTCCTCATTATGAAATTGCTTTTAAATGTTCACATAAGTTCATAGGCTTTTGCATTACCCAATTGTAGACCTTAAAAGTATATGTAATATTACATTATGTGTTATTTTACTTGTTTGAAGATATGGTAATAAAATGAAAATTGATAATTATGGAGAAATTTTTATGATTTGAAGATTTAATTTGTTTAAATCAAGATCAAATCAAAATCAATGCATGAAAATATTAGTGGATCAGACACTAAAAATAGATTAAGGTCAAGTTTGATCAAGACATGAAATATTTATGGAGATTAAGACCAAGATCAAGATGTGAAAATATTTTCCAAGAAAAGTTTTATATTTATGTCTCAAATTAAATCTAATAAGATATATTTTGAATAAGTTTGTTGAAATATTTTCAATTTATATCCACTTCAGATCTAATAAGATTATGAGGATAAAGATCATGATTTAAATTTGATTGTGATCTATAAAAATGTATAGCAACTTGTTGGGTTATATTTATTTTGAATTTAAAAAATTGGTGTTCTTGGTAACTATGTCGTCATTAGCATCATCTTCTTTTTGGGTTATATTTTAGTTTATTTAATGGGTTGTATTAGTGGATTGAATAATTACACGTAAATATTGTAATTTTGCATATATGTTGGTTAGGTGTCATGCCTGCATTTAGGAGAATATGTTAGGCATGCATAAACTCTCTATAAAAATAATGACTATTTGTAGCGATTTGATTACCGTAACAATTGGCCTAACACAAAAAAATAATTTTTGTTACGAATTTTGCAAGGACAAAAAATAAATTGTATTGACCAATATTTTTTTAATTATCTCGATAATTTATTCATGAGAACTATAGATAAACAAGGTATCCTTGTAAATATATATATATATATTTGTTACGCATGTAAACTGGTCAAAAAATATATTAATATTATAATTATAAAAAAACTATATAGATTATTTCTTTTTTTAAAAAAATGAATTTATAAGACCACACTTACAAAAATAAAATAAAATCACACACATTCCATTATTTTCCAATTTCCCAAAATCTAACTCCAAAACACTCATCCAGCTCATCGACCTCTGTTTTGTCATTGCCGCTTTGAGGTAATAAAAAAACGAGCTTAGGCTGGCAACCCTTTTCAGTGTGGTTCGAAGCCTATCTATTCCTGTGTCACTGGTGGCATGATTCTTCTTGGCCGCGATGTTGTTGTCATGAGATTGACGGGTAAGTTCAAAACTAGGTATTCAATTTTAAAACTTATTCGATTTCAAGAAACACTACAAAAAAATATCAATTTTGTAACAAGATTTTTTCGTTGTTAAATCTACTTTTTTCGTTACTAATGATATTAGAGACGAAATTTAAGATGGAATTACGTTAGCTACGTGAACTTTAGGAACGGAATTCCGTTACAAATATAATATTTTTTTGTAGTGAAAATCCAATTCTCCTTCTCTTAGATTTTTCCACGGTCGACGATAAATCGGCGCCCCTAAGCTGTGCCTGTGCCGTGACAACTTCTCCGGCTTAATTAAAAAAAAAAAAACAAGTTGTCGAGCAGTTAAAAGAAATCGCAAGGTATGCTCACGTTGTGAAGTAGTTTAATATCAATGTTTATGTTGTCATATTCGTATTTTAGGTGTTAGAATAGTTGTTTTCTATTATGTTGATTTGTAGGAGGCTTTTTTCTTCGAGATTGAACAATCTCTAATTGATTCCTTGTTTACTTTCCGTCCACATATGCCATTTTTTGCAATCACCACTACAAACTATTCAAATCTTTGGTAAAAGTATGTATTTTCATTTGATTTACTTTCACTTCTTGCTAATTTTATTTGAGCATAATTTATGTGGCATGGGTTGAGCGTGAAATTGGTGTTATAAGTAGCGAAATTGCTTTTGCGTAATTTTCATATGAAATTTTAGTTAGGAATTATTGGACTTTAATTAAAATTAAGTTGGGATATGCTCTTATAGGAATGAACAAGAAAATTCTTCTGTGCTTGTGTGTGTATTTTGATGATCATGAGAATGAGTACTTCCCTTTTTTTTTTTATGATTATAATTCATGTAGTTGTTGCAGTTGTGGACTTTTACATAGTCCGATTGCAAGTTAAATTTTGTTTCAAGATGTGGACTTTCAATTAGCGGTAGGTTTAATCATCCTCTAATGAAATATGTCATAGATCACTTTAAGAAATGACTATTTTTATAATATTTTAATAATATAGTTTCTACAAGTAGATTGTTAGCTCATAGATTTGTCATTTCTATATACAAGTACATTAAACCTTTATAATTCATCTAATATACGAGCAGGAGAATGAGCAATCTCAAATGCATCACACAACAACTCTTTCAGGGGTAGTAAGTAGTTTATTTATATTGTTTTGCGTGTTTGTATGGTAATTATTTTAATCAAATTATGCACATTTTGAATTTTCTCTTTCTCTAAGCATTCCTGCTATTGCTATTGTTGCTACAAATATAAGCATTATTGCCAATGGAAATTAATTACTTGTTTCTACCATAGTTTAAATTCAAATTGAAGTAATTTATTGTCAATGCAAAGACAACTAACTCTAAGGATCTACTATGATCTGCAGTCATGATAATAATGCATTGAGCAATTGACAAAAAATTAAATTTGAGAGAGCAAAGCCTTGAATATCGGCTTGATACTTTTAAAAATTTGAAACTTTACACTCAAATCAAAACTTTGAAACTAAATCCCATGAAGCATGCAATGAAATTGCATTATATGAAATATTGGACTAAAGAAGAAATATTGCTAGCAAGCATAACCTCCATAAAAAATACATGATCATAACTGATCAAATATTTATAAAAATATACTTTTGCTTGGTATGTCTTACAAAGCATCCAAAGCCCCCTATTTATAGGAATGAGAAAAAGGGATAGTTGATTGACATTCCTTTTGGGATGAATATAATCACCCAATGAGTGATATCTAGCATCTGGTCTCCCTCATGCATGTAAGAGGCATCTGAGATTCCTTATTGTATATAAATGGTCTCAAGGGATGGTAGTGCATGCAAACCTAGGTTTGTGTAATTATATATTAAACCCTCTATTTTAGTATACTCCTTAGTTTACACATCTCTTTCCTTAATTGTCTGAACGCGCTTTAAATTTCAACATCGGCATCCCTCTACAAGTCTTTGCAATGTGTTTCAATTTCTCCCCAACTTTTAATCTCCATCATTAACCCTTGTAATTTGTCAAAGCATGCTTTCTCTCGCGTTCTCGAAGCTAGTCCGATAGGAAGTTTTAGAATTGTGAGTCTTGATGTCCGGAAATCCATATTATTCCCTCTCTCTTCAGAAGGTTGAGTCATCAACCATTGTGCTTTATCCTCCACTCGAACATAGGATGATAAATCATAAAGAACTTCCGGTAATTCCTCCGGGTATACTTCTTTCATCGCTTCAAACATCATATCAAAGGGAATAGAAAATTTAGTGAATAGATTATCTTTATAAAAATGAAATAAATCTTGCATAACAACATAAAACAACCCCCCTTTTGATAATCTAGGTCACCAACCTATCGCTGAAAATTAGTAAGTAAAAGAAAGATGTTGGAAGCGTTAGTAGAAGATTCTTTCTTTTCAATTTCGGATACTTTTTATCTTTTAGTTCTTTTAAGGCTTTCAGCTTTGCATCTTCCTTCGTAAACTTTCTTGATTTTTTCGAACCTCCTTCAATGACAAAGAAAGAATCATTACCTTGTAGTCCTTGTCATAAAATCTAACTTCGTTACTCTTGCCATCATAAACATTTCCTTTATCAGATTTTCATGTTCGGTCAAGAAGCACATGGCATGCGGTCATTGGAGTAGCATCACAAAGGACATCCTCTTTGTAGGGACCAATTGAATTTGGAACCTTTGTTTGCCTAGTAATATTCATATCTTCACTAAACTTCATCCATTGAAGATGGTATGGAGTCGGATGCTTGATAGTTTGGAGTCCAAGTTTGTTTATCACATACCAACTTACAACATTGGTGAAACTTTCATTATCAATGATCATCGACGCTCGCTTGCCGCCAATCTTGCACCGGCAATGGAAAAAATTATCCCGTTGCTCCTTAACTCGATCAACAAATTTTTCTGACTCATTGGTAACAACACCAAGTATTCGAAAAACCACTAGAGAATT